AGAAATAAGAAGTACTCACCATTTATAAATTGAAGTATTACCCACGCCGTAGAGTTTTAGTCGAAGAAGCTTGTGCCTTAAAGAAATGGGCCGGTTCAATGAATGAATTGCCAACAAATCAGCCACACAAAGATTATTGTACGATTCGTATTGTGTTGCGTAGTGGTGAACTACATCACTCATCTAATGCAATAGGCTAAAAGAAGATTTATCACCCTGCAAACTACTCGCTTGTTGTCCTGCTTACAAAGAACTCAAAGCGAAACTAAGCCAGAGTATACAAATTAATAGCTCACAAATGGCTAATAAAGTGCCGACACCTCAATGATACTTATACTGACGCAGTGTACCACACAATTTATATTTAAGATGCATAAAATGATTCTGGACTTGATCAAAACCCTAATTAGAAGCTGCTTGCTTTTGTATATAGAAAATTTTTCGACAAAATATCTGTATATAGAACGCAAACGGCATAAGCCAACACAAGGCGGAACTTGAGAAATATTTCAAAATAACAAGAAGTTGACGTTGAGCTACTGACTAAAACACATTTAACGAACAAGTATATCTATCACATTCAGTTCACAACAATTTGTGAGATCCATAATATTATATAATATGCAGCAATAAAAAAAAAAAAAAAAAAAAATTAGGACGACAATCTTGAAATATCAGATTTACTCGACACTGTAGAAAATCGATTTATTGCAAATGGGGATAACACCACTGAACTCACTTCCCCACTTGTTGACCCAAAAGGTGATTATTAATGAAGATATTTGAATAGGCGATTTCGTTCTATTTACATTGAAAAATATATCAAAATATTCTGTCCAGCAAACCGAAAACGTCCTTAAAGAACGACGTCTTACCCATCGTTCACTGCTACTAATGGGTTAAAGATTCTTAAAAATATTGATAGACTTTTAATAACCCGACCCAATAAATAAATTTCCTTAAACAAAAATAAAATGAAAATTCTTTACGGATCCGTAAGAAAAAATAATGAAAAAGCCTGAATCATAAATAATATACAGATCTTGCGTTAATTTTGGGACTATGTACATACATATATTAAAACAGCTTTAAAACTCCGAATATATAATACAATGTAATTAAGAAAAACCTAAAATATGTTGTTATCTATAGTATCTACGTGCAAAATTTTATCCTTTACGAATTCAGCTGCTGATCTTCAACTTATCTTCGGTTCCAAAATATGTGTAAATCTTTGAATCTTTTTTGCTTGCACCAGAATAACCAACATTTGCTTATAATAAATAAAGGCAGTATTTCCAAAGATAATAATTGTTTACAGCTATAGGATGACCAGGCCAGAGAACAGATAGATATATCAACTGCTAGTCATCAATCGCAATTTTAGATGAGTATAGAGTATGGTTAGGTTATCGGATAATGCCTTGGTTGTTGCAGAAAGGCATAAATTGAACCCTCCAGCCATTGCAGGTTTGAAAAGAGTTATTTAGTTATTTTATCATTTTCATTTCATGATAAACTAATAACATAACCAAATAATGTTTCATAGAGATATTTCGTTGTGATAAATTTAATAATTTAATCAATTTATTTTTATAAACCCATTGGGGGATCACAGTGCAATTTCTTACAGTGTGTCATCTTATGTATCTATCATCCACTGCTTCTTCATATACTGCGATTTTCGCGTTTATTAGATCAGGTGCGTTGAAAGGCTTAACTCGAACTTCTGAAAGCGCAGTTAAACCGATTGTTATCTTTATGGTCGATGGAGAACCTGAGGAATAATAAAGTGGTTTGTCTCCACTCATTTATCACGATAATATAAGCCATAGTGATTCTTTAAAATCTCCTCTAGTCTGAAAGGGCAGCACAATTGAATTCTCACAAATAAATTCTCGACTGCTGAGATAACTGATCTAACTTGTCTTAATATTGATATGAAAAACCTGAAAGTATTGGAATACTTTCTTCAAGTAGTCAATTGCGGCGATTTAAACTGCCACTCACATATCTAGTATGTACTATTTATTCCTTATTGCAATTATATTACAATTATTAGTTTTCTTGTATAATTTATTTTTCTTGAAATGCTTAGTACATTAAAAAATTTAATAAGTAAATAGTTAAACCAAAGTTATGAAAAAATATTTAATAAAAATATTTTTGTAAAATGCTGAATATTATGCTTACGTAATTTATAGACATCCCCTTATTACTAAAAAAGTAATATTTGCTATAAAATAAGCCTAAGAGATAAGTAAGAGCTTACTTAGAACAAAAAAAAACTGGTCAAAGATATTCTGATATGAAACTTACTTTTTATATTTGAGCCTCGATTGTTTTGTTCACAGCAAGCTAAAAGGGCGAGCTCCCACAAAATTATTTTCAAATGTGGGTGCTTATTTTATTTTTATTTTTTTTTTTACCAGAATACTAGTTAAAACAGAAGATGACTATTAGCTTTCCTGTCGAAAGAACCAGAGGGTAATGCGAACAAATGATTTTAATTAATAATATTGTCAAGCACAATGTATGTATGTGACAATTTTATTCAATAAATAGTAGTAAATATTGGGTGTACGCATTAATTCGTGCGATTTTTTTTTCGAAAATTAAAACTTTCTTGTGAAAAAATGATTTTAATCGTCTGAAAACGGTTGCTTGATCAACTCCTTATACTTTTGCAAGTTCTTCTTGCGTCTGGCATGCATCTGCGTCGAGCCATGTCTCCAATTCTTCGTCTCGAAATTTTTTTGGCTGTCAGTCGGCTAAGTCGAAATTGCTACTTTTAAACCGTGCAAACCAGTTTTGGCACGTTCGTTCGGCTAAATCATGGTCACCATAAACGTCCAGTAAAATACGATGGCTTTCGGTAGCACTTTTCTTCATGTTAAAATAATGAAGAAGATCTCGCCGCAAAAACACTTTATCTGGTACAAATAGCCACAGATAAACACGACGCGAAATAATACTAGTAGAGCCCTCTCTTAGAAAACCGCACGAATTGATGCAAATACCTAATAGTTACGAAAAATATTTATTTCTTTGACTTTTAAATCTCTAAACTTACTATTATTATTATGCTATGTTTCATTTGTTCAAACATCTAAAAATAATAATTTATATGTGAAATATAATTAAATAAATAATTTAAAAGACCATTTTCAAATTTCATGTGAACGAAAAGTTTTACCTTTAATTTTCTTTTACAACACCACACCAATTGTTTAGAAACATGAGTACCATATATTTTACGCAAATTAATTATTTTTGTTATTAAGCAGATTTTTTTTTCAATTTTCGCTGTTTATAGCCAACTGCTAGTAAAAAAAATCAACCCTTCGGAGGCGGCTTAGAAAAACTTTAGGTCCCTACATTTGGAGGAACACCTCGCAAAAAATCACTTCAGCCGATACAAAGAGCCAATTATAGTGTATATACCATTGTATGGGTTAGTTGAACGTTCCTAGCATAATCTGCACATGAAATTTTTTGTAAAAAGCAAACTTTCTCAAAACTGGCAGTTTTTGAATAACTTGACTAAAGTATTAAAAATAGTATGCATGAAATTTGATGCCTCATACGAAAAAAAATGTGATAACAACAGTAAGTTATAGCTCAAGCAGAACGTCAATAGTAAAAAAAACCTTACTTAAAGTTGGAAATTCACTCTGGGAAAAATTCAGTAAGAAAAAACTAGCAAGTATAAAAAAACGTAATTTGTGATCATTTGGATACATTTTAGTCACCGAAAAAAAATAATCACATATTTTAAATTCCACTGAATGATCCACCGATTCAAATAAATAATAAAGATATCCGTCACACGGCAATGGTGGGAAATCATCACCTGTACATCGCACACTCTGCATTGAGAAATTGAAAGTCAGGAATATTGTAGGCATATATTGTAATATTCTTCTTTAATTATTAGCCGCAAAATATTGGGAAGCTATGGTATTGCTACGGGCGCAGTAACGATAATGCAGCCTTAAGCTTCTGGAAGGGACGACGGTGCACGAATTGAAATTTTAGTTGCTTTTAAAAGAATAAATAAATCTTTGCTGAAATATAATAAATTTTGAAAATAAATAATATATTTAATACACTATAAAATTAATAATGCAATAAATTATTTTTGAAAAGTTCAGCTCAGTTCGATGCGAAATATCAGTACGACTAAACCAATAAAGAAAACGTTTTATTCTACTAAATTACTGACTTTTCACGGAACAGGATTCAGTAAAAATTAGCCAACATATTGTATAACTGTTTTATAACTTGGCGGTCACATTTGAATCCGTTCATTTATATCGTTTTTTGATGCTTTTTTAGATAATAGTTTTGTTACATTAGGTTTTTTTTTTATGCTGTTAAGTAATAGCTCTTCACAAAAAAATCATCAGCCGTTCGGAGGCGGCTTATTATAAATTTTAAGTCCCTCCATTTTTTGGGAAAACATCAAGACGCAAGACCACAAATTGGAGGAGGAGCTCGGCTGAAAATCGCTTCAGCGGTTACAAATATATGATATATGTTATATCGAATTTATTTATTAAAGTGATGAATTAAATTGGTCATGTCCATCGATTAAATCAAAACCAAAAAATTAAATCAAACTGAAATGGTTTAATTTATTTAGTAATAAATCGTGCTTGTGCTTTATAACTTGGACTTTCACTTTTTTATTCCCCTGTTTTGAACTTTTGGAATGTGGAATTAAAGAACTATCCTAAAAAGCCGGAAATCTTAAACTCGATAAACTCATAATAAATCGTGGTATTTTTGAAGAAGGTGTAACAATCCTATTAAAGGTTTTAATGTGGTATCCAACGCATGGCCTTAAAATTGTCGATATGTAAATCGAATAGGTCCGATTTTATTTATTATGACCAAAACTTTTATTGAAAGAACTTCAACGTATTTTCTTTGTTTTGTTATTATTTTATTCGATATGTTTAATTTCATATCATAAACAGTAACACTATGCAGTTGCATAAAAAATTATTATTAAATTAAAATTAAAGGACACAACAATTAATTTTCATTCTCTATTACATGTATTGCCAATAAAGGCGATATTTAAACACAATAAGAACACTAAGCACGGCAACTGATCACAAATGCATATAATTATTTGTGTGTGTAAAGTTTTGACGCGGTTTATACATAATTAAAAATTAGTTAATAATTTAGCCTTTAGATCATAGCTTGTATTGTAAGATATTAGAAATGCAAGAGCAATTTCGAAATATTCTTTAGCGCATGCATAGTTAATCACATCATTTGTACAATCTTACACACTTACTCACTTATATATTATATGTATGCACAAACATTCTGATGATAAACATATGTATGTATGTGTGTACAAACTATTTAGATATATACAATGTAATTATAAACTAAATACAACTTTTGCTTTATTGTCAAATATTTATGAATGAATTTATCTAATCACTTCTCATGCGGGCCCTGCGCACTTTTTTAGAAAACTCATATATACTCGTATGAATGTATGTACGTGTATGTACAATATATTTAAGTCTGTTAAACAAAATATTTACATTATTTGCACTTCGAATACAGGAACTGATCTCATTGTTTTTAAGTTTAATGCATTGTTTGAATGATACAATTAAATATTGACCACAAAATTCGAAGGAAATGCAATTCATTTTCTATGTATGTATGTATATAAATTGTTTCTGGGTTGTGCTTATTTCTTATTAGGTGCATTATAAGCGATGGGTAGCTTTGTCAAAATGTAATATTCCTTTACAAGTACTCGCACATGTATATATTTGAATACTTGGGCGCTAAAAGTTTTACTGTTTATATTTTACAATCATCTGAGAACATACTCGTATGTATATACAATACAAAGAGTGCACAAATCACGGTTGAAGTAATCCAATTATGGATTAGAAGTATTTTCGCGGCTTTGGAATCAATGTATTCAGATTGTCACAGTACTTCCTGGCTGATGATATCGTGATGACCATTGGTGCGAATGAGGATGTGGTTCTGGATGTGGCATATGATGGTTAGAAGCAGCTGCGGCTGCAGCCGCAGCATGTTGTCCGCTGATAGCTAGCTGACGTCAAAGATAGAACTCCGGCGAATTTTGGCTATCGGTATTCAAGTTCTGTTGTCCGGCGGTTATTATACCTGATGTACTGCCATCACTAACATTAGCTAGTGTGGCGATTACACTGCCACTATTATTGCTCGTGCGCATTTGGAGGCGTTGTTTAAGTTGATCGCGTTCCTGACATACTCGTGAAAATTCATATTTTAATCGATCCAAGTCTTGATTTAGCTGGCGATTAGTTTTCTCCAGCTCATGACGTTGCAGTAAACGTTTGGATCGGCAATTTTGTGCATACCCCCGATTTTTGAGAGTGCGACGTTTCGCTTTGAGACGTACAACTTCTTCACGTGGACACCCATGCAGCCGTTTGTTTAATTCCCGAACGGTAAGTGTTGTTAACAGATCGTCATTGATACAATCGTCAATACCCAAATTACTGGATGTGCTATATTGTCTGGAACAGGTGCGTGGAGAGTTGGTGGATGAGCGAGTTGAGCTCACTGACATTGGTCTGCTAAGATGAACCACAGTCGGTGGAGCATTAGACGGTGCTTGATTGCCATTACCGCTAACTCCTAGGCTTGCCGTGCCACTTATTATACCGTTGTGATATGATGAATGCATGTTAATAGGTGCTAAGTGTTCAAGCGGCTGAAAGTGGTGATGATGCGGGTGATGTTGTGATTGCGCTACCAAGTGTCCGTGATGATGATTGGCAGCCGCCACAGCTGCGGTGGCATGCATGTATTCACGTTGTCGCTCCCACTCTTCTTCATGTGTGGGACAGGCAAGTGGTCGAAGATCAAGTGGTTGTGGATCTGATCGCATGGAGTTTGGCAGCCACATCATTTCTTGCGTGAGACCAGTACTGGCGGTGGGTGTGCGATGGGTTGGATATGGAGCATTTGTAATTGTGGCATATGTAGCTGCGGGTGAACTGATAACTGGCGGAGTTTCAGGTGGTGTCGAAGGTACACCACCGGGCACTGACGTATTCACAAGTATAGCTTGCCCGGCCATAGGACCATGTGTATAAATTTCTGGCGGGGGTGACAATGGATGAAGTCGTCGCTCGTCGATTTGCCAGTTCTGCGGAAAGGCACGCATTTTGATGGTTGGGGGACCAGCAGCTTCATCCTCTTCCGGTGTAATTGCAGTTGTTGTCCAAGCGATTTTTGTGCCCGCCGTAGGGCTGTGATCTTCACGTTTCACTCCAATAGCGGTAACAGTGGCAGAACCATCCTCGAGATGATCGAGGACAAATTCTTGCACATACTGTTCGGCGAGGTTTGGATCTTCCATTCTCATTTAAAAACAATTGATTTTTTTACATACACTTAAATACAAAATTCTTTAGTTATTGCAAATTAGTTATTTTTTTGTTTTTGTTTTTGGTCAGGTTGATAAGGATTATAAATAAGATAGTATATCAACATGTGATTTTGTATACAGCAGGTCATTAATCCAACAAATTATAAATACGTATACTTTTTTATTTTAAATGAATATATGTATGCATGTACACATAATAAGTTGCCTTTGTATGTGTTATATTGAACACTTATCAATCGGTACTAATTAAATCACTAATTAGCAAAGGAATTTTCACTTTTTCGGAGTTTTGTTTTTCGATAGTCAAAAATGTGCGAAGTCGAATTTATTCGCGAATGCCGCGTCAACCACTTTGAATAATGTACCGATTATCACTAAATAATAGGAAGGGTGTACATTGCTGTCGTTGCGAGTTGGCAAGTCTAGCGTATTTTACAGGTTTATTTTCCAGGTAGAGAAAAGTAGGCCGTTGCAATAAGTACGGATCGTCTGATGTCGTGTATTGTCGCGTAACCTCGTTGTGAATGACAGCTCAAATCATACTGGAATGCTTTTCCCATAATTCCGATGCTGCAATTCGCCGGTAGCAGAAGAGCTTGGCTTCGAAAGCGATACATCGAGCGCCAAATTACCACCCATGCGCACTGTACGAAACAAATCGATTTGTTTATGTATGCGTAAATATCTGCTTTTGTAGTTGTATGATGAACACCATGAATGCTACCTATACTATTGTATTTAAGGAGAACAAAACGAAGCCTCCCTTTGATATAATTTCTATTAAATGTTTACAAACAGAAGTATTCTGTCTGAGGACTTGGCTGGTACAACTAAGTACAAATTTGAAAATTAAGTCGCTAATCGCTCCGGCGAATATATAAACGATGGAACTATTAAAATACCTTTAAGAAATAACAGGAATGAGGTTTTAACGCAATAATAAACCGATAGCTTGTATTGCAGCTTTCTATAAAAGCATCGTCGGTTAATACTTTTTATATATGTGCATATAACAAAACATGTACTCCACATTTATTTTTATAAAAATATTCAATTATACGCTCTGCCCTATCAGCCTAAATTTTTGCTATCAATAATGGGTAGCATTGTGTGCTATCCGGCAGAAGTTAGACCTATATAACTGAGTTATTTAGTAATTTGATCACCCCAAGATCACCCCCCTGGAATGTCATCGAGTTAGTGCAGAAAAATCGGAGGCTTTTAGAAGCTGTAGGTACCTGAATTTATAGAAGAGAAGCCAAAACGAGCATCAAATTTTGGAAAAAACGCTTAAGGAAATAAAAAGCGCATAACTGGAAGTACAATTTTAAAAAATTTGAGCGACAGTAACATGGTTCTAATCCTATATATGTATACATATATATATAAGCATATCTATATAAGAACAATATTTGTTATTACTGATAACTCCTTGGAAAAACGTTGTAGAATATGAAGATATGGAATTCTCTTATATATATATATATGCCATATATGTATATATGGCGCTATGTAACTGCCGATAGTTTTTCATGAGGAGCCTTTATTTCATGCCAGAAACACACTCGGAGGGCTTTACATTCTCTGCCGAATTCTCTTATACTATTCGGAAATAAAAGTTAAATATTTGGAATTTTCAAATATCTAAATGTTAAACATCAGAATCTTTGATCCAGAGACTTTCGAACTGATTCATTAACCTTAATAGAAAGTAATGCTCCCACTAGGTGTAATTCTTGTACGTAGAAAAAATTCAGTTTATCCGCTGTTTCAATGGTTTACTCTTTAACTCGTTTTAAAATGTTTCATGACGATAATCACTATATCTAAAATTAAGTTCAGGCGGTCAAAACAATTTTTTCAAAAGTAAAAAATATAATAGCGTACATATAGTACATATGCACATGGACATACATATGCACTTATTGTATATTTCATAACAACTATAAAAAAGTTCTCTACACTGTACTCTCTCTCGGCTTTCCTATAAAATCATTTTCTCTATAAACATCACGACAGAGCTTAATCATTTATAGGGGTTCCAATCGTTTTATTATATACGAGTATGTAGTGGAAATGACGATAAGGGCTTCTTACGTGTTTTCATTGCTATCAAAATGTTGGCTGTGGTAGTAAAGTAACAGTACATTTCAAATTTTGGCATTGGTGGTGTTTTCCCGCAAGTGAATAAATATAGGTGTGCGAGTTCAGCGAGTATATTGCATTTGTTAGTGTAGTGGAAAAGTGGGCGTTGAAATTGCCGTCCGTAAAACATATTACAACACGGATATCCAACGAGCGCTCGGTTGAGTGAAAATATTTTGAGCAGCTCCGCCTCTTTGTTGTCAAAAAATGTAGTAAGAGCGTATCAGATATAAAATATTCTATCGTAGTGGTGGAAACGAGTTCAAACTGTTCAATGTATGATTATGAAAGCTTCAGGTGAAATTCCATGCAACAAAATAACTAAAACAATGAATTGATTTTCCCATTATATTATTTCCATTGTGTATTGTTGAAGGAGTAGTATTTCTGGAATAAGTTACATATGTATTAATTGCTTATAAATATATACAAATTTTTAATTGGCAGAACCGTTAATGTAGGAACATAACTTGGGACTGAAAATGTTCATAATTTCATATTGTTTGTAAAACACATACGAAATATACATACATTACGAAATCTTATGTACATATATTCATGAATATATATACAACAAAATTATTTATATATTATTATTGTGTATCTATATATAGGTATATATAAACATATAAACACATATATATAAGTGTAATTTTTCGATGTAATTATGCGGTTTAGATGAGAAAACTTCAGGTTTTGTCTGTCGCAAATAATATGTACAAATATAATTTTTGATGGTGACCAGAAATAACTTTAAGCCTAAGCGATGGTTTTTAAAGCTCTTATCGTCGATTATTATTTATAATCATACTTTTACATCTATCCATTTGGAAATATATAAGTATTGGACATGTGCTCTGGTATTTTTCTATTTCTCCAGAATACCGGTTTGGATGGCAATAAAATACTATTGTAGTTGTAGTCAAAAGAAGTCCATCATTTTTTCATGAAATTGAAGGCTTTAATTTTTCGTATTCAGCCTTATTCAAATGGTTCCAAATGGGTTTTGGTGCAATCTTTAGCTCTTAAGCAATCGAAACAGTGCTTACATGACTGTCGGACTCGACAATGACCATGGTTGTATCGACATTTTCGACAATTGGTCTTCCTCTCCGTGAAGCATTTTTTATATCAAAATTACCGGAACGAAACTGAAATTGTGCATGATTGACTGCAACAGTACAAGGACAATAAACGCTATTCATACTTTTAGCCGCATGGGTTGCCTTTCCGCTCTTATCGAAGAAAAACCGTAAAATTTAGCGTATTTTCTTTTTGCTAGTATCCATCTTTGACACACGTTCAAACAAAACTGAATAACCAAACACAATCAAAACAGATAAAAAAACAGGAGCTATTGGAAAAATAATGGATTAATTTTTACTACACCGATATTTTGAGAAACTAAGCAACTTAAGAACTAATACCGAATAAGAGAGTATTTTTAAATACTTTTCGTGCAATTTTTTTATATGTAGAATTAATTAATTAGCGTACGATTATTAATTTTTTTCGATTCCCTAACAGAGTTGCAATTTTTAGAATCCTCTACGACATTATCGATAGAAACTAAGAACGTTAACTCCATTGTTGCTGCATCAAACCCGGATTGACCTACTTCCATTAACGGCGACATTGTCTAGTATAATTTATTTTGGTTTCTTCACAAAAATGTTGAAAAGTTGTTACCCGGCCAATTATCTCCGTACCGTAACTCGAAATGCATCACTCACCACAACTATAGATTCGTTCCGTTTCCGAAAAAAAACTCAACCAGATGTTTTTAATTATTATTGCAAAGACTTACGGAAAATATCCATTTATTCCTATAAGCGGAACTTCGGTGATGAAAGACGGTTCCCCTTTTTGTGAATTAATTAGAAGATAAAATGAATTTTCCGCCCTTGACGTAAGTCAACAGAGAAAATGGAGTTGATTCTGATTCACATTTTTTTTTTAATTTTGGGTATTGGTCGAGCCAGGACCTGAATCCTAGCCTACCGAATGACAGGACTCAATGCTATTCACTCGACTATCGTGGCCGGTACATAACAATAAAATATTACATAAATTCCGTTATTGAAACCTAGTTTTCATGTTACTTACTCGATTAAAATATATCGGTTATTCTGCGGAAATTGAAAAGATACCAATGGTGATATAATCATAGTTATTTTTGGAAAAGATACCTTTAGTGATCTGTTTCTCGCATCCTATTAGTGCGAGTGGATTTCGCTACATGGCGTTAGAAAGATGTTATTTGTACTCAAAAAGTGAACTCTGAAGTGTTCGATATAGACGAAAACGCAAGTCAGGCAGATGAAAATGTGAAAAGAGTTTATGGTTTTGATTTGACTAGAAGTTGCCCAAAAAATCGTTGGGATAAACTTGGAAAAGGCTGAATACCCAAAGGAACTCGATGGTGCCACATGAGTTAATGAGAAAAAACTTCATTGACCGAATTTCCGTCTGTGAATTGCTCCTGAATTGTATCAAAATCAAGCTATCGGAATGGTGGTGAAAATGGATCACGTATAGCAACATCAAACCTAAACCGTCTTGGTCGAAGAACAGTGAGCTGACACAATCGATCTCTAAGCCAAGATTGCGCAACAGGAAGGTTTTGCAGAGTGTTTGGTGGGATTGGCTAGGAAACATTTACTTTGAGTGCTCCCCTACGGTAGACTCTTATGGGGACCTGTGAAGAAAGCAATCGCACAGTAACGCCCACCTTTGGTCCACAGAATGGGAATTGTGTTTCATCAGGACACCTCCAGACCACACCTATAGTCACTCACCAAAAGCTTCAAGAGCTTGGTTGGGTGGCTCTTATTCAAGCACTTTATAGTCCGGATCTCAAACTTAGTGATTATAATATGTCTGCGTCTATGGGAAATGATTTGGCTGCTAAATAATTGATCTGTGAGGGTGGATTTCCCCAATTATTTTAAACAAGTCTCTATGACTTATTACTTGACATAATAGGCGTTTAAATTGTATCGCTCTGTGATTTTGCTGCTAGTATCCAAACGGAGACGAACCCTTAAATTTTGGGCCGATATGACCAAATACAGTCGCTGAAAAAATACTTAAATTTTTGAACAAGAAGATCACTCATTTTCTACAAATTGTACCTCAGCTTTTACGTATACAGCTTAGATCCAGACTTATACACATAGCATCAACAAGAGTGAGAGTAAAGTTGGCGAACAACAGATTGGAATTTTCATCACTATTTTCAGTTTGATTACATACTTTGTTAGCGGTTATTTCTATAAACCGTCTGAAACTTAAACAAAGACAGTAATTTTTATTACTCCCGAATAAATCGGGCTTACAAAAGTAAAAAAGAATATATTTTATAAATTTGGCATCCGCAACTACAGAAGCCCAAAAAACAGAAAGAATGTAGTACCAATTCCGA